TGGTCAGTTGGACGCTGCCAAGTTGCAGCACCTTTGTGACATGCTGCAGTTTGCCCTGGACCACCTCTGGCATGTTCCCCTTGATGAGCAGGTCATCCACGTAAGTGGTGGCGTACAATTCCTCCAGCTCTGCTGCCAGCATGATGCCTCTGTTCACTGCTTTGTGGTACAGAAAGTGGGCAACAGCATTGAGAAGGAAAGGAGTGCAATTGATCCCCCAGGGAAGACGCAAGAACTGGAAGAACTTGGGGATGATGCTGCCATCCAACTGGACCTCCTGCCACTGGATGATGAGAACCCATTGGTCATCAGGTGCAAGTTCTACCTGCACAAAAGCTTTCCAAATGTTGCACACTGCAAAGTTCTCAGTGAAGGGCCACCCTAGGAGGATTTCTGTGATGTGGGGCAGGATGTTGGCCCCTTGGCAGAACAGCTGGTTGCACAAGAAACTGCCAGGGTCTGCAGCCCACCATGACTACCCTGAGAGGTGTGGATGAGCTGGATAGGTGCACAACACTGTGATGCAGCAGCTCCATTTAGGCAATGACGCTGCTGATTCATTTCATCCAGCATGGTGGGGGCAATGATGCCTTTCTCAATCCAATTTTGAAGAAGTCTTCAATAGGCTTGCACCATGGGGGTGCCAGCCTGCAGAAGCTTCACAACCAATTTGCTCCATGGGGCACCAGTGCGCAGGTTGGGTTTGCACTGTGCTGGGTACAGCAACGTCTTCAACAAGGGTGCCACAACACAGCCCCCTGGGCTGATTGTGAGCTGTCTGAGATATTCTTGAAACCCAATGTTGAAGGAACATTGTTCTTCTCATGGGTATCCCAGGATGTGGATCTGGTCCTGATAGGCCTACTGCAGAATCAGGCTGTTGAGCTCCCCATTGGAGTCCAAATTGAGCATGTCAAGTGCCAGGCATGCCCTTGGTGATGGGATGGGCATCTGCAGACACTGAGTAACCCAGGTCCCTTGGGTCACAATGCCAAGATGGGTTGGAATCCCTTGAAACCCTGCAGTCCAAATTGGTGGCGCAACATTCTGATAAAACTGTAAAAGATTGCCTCCCCCAGAACAATGCCAAAGGAGAGGGATGTCTCAGTCAGGATGCACCAATCTGCAAAGACTGGTGCAAAGGACTCCAACCATGGAAGGGCACAAGGATTGGTCCCTTTCCAAGATTTACTATGTGGAATCACAACTGCCATGTTGGTATACTTGGGTGAGTTTGCCACCTCCCCTGTGAAGGTGAGCTGAATGGTTTTGGCTGTTGTAATGGTTGCTCCTTGTTTGACGCCCCCAATTGGGTATGGCAGTCAAACCACAATTGGCAGATTGAGGCGCTGTACCAGTGACCTGGTAATGAGGGTCAACTGGGAACCTGAGTTGAGCAGGGCATACACAGTATACCCTAACGGCTCCAAGTTGATGGCAGCCATTTCCATGAATGTGCATGCTGGTCCTAGGGTCAGAGCAGACACAACCAGAACCAGGCAGCATTTGGCCACTGGATCCCGTCATGCTGATGTGGCTGGAGCCACTGCTGGAGCTGCAGCTGAGGGTGCTGTGAGCACAACCTGATTGATAGTGGGCGCAGCAATGGCAGCTTGGGCTGCCTTGCCTTGCTGTGGCTGTCACACCTGCGCCCTATTGCACATGGCCAAATGGTGGGCCTCCTGGCAATGTTGGCACCAATGAGTGGAGCAGCACTCCCAGAAGAAATGATTATCCCCCAAGCAGTTGTGGCAGAGGCGCCATTAGCAGATGGCCTGCTGCCTGTCCTGCCTGGGTACGGGACATGCCATAGGGCCATGCTGACCTTTGCAAAAGGGACATGGGGGTCCGTGGTTGTTCTGGTGTGGATCCTGCTTGCAGTGGCCATGGCTCCTGTTGTTGCTGCAGTACCATGACCAATGCTGATCAGACCACAATTTATGTGGGGAGAAGCTCTGTCCCCAATTGGGTGACCTGCCCCATTGTTGCCACTTGTGTGGAGGACTCCTTGACCAGGACTGACCCTGTTTGTCCAGTTTGCATTTGGATGAGGCTTGCCCATAGTGCCCCACTCCCACTTGTGCAGGCTGCAAAGTGCTGCCTGTGGTGGCAGTTGCTGCAACAACAGGCATGGCTGCCCTGGCCTCTTGCTTGACAGCAGTGGGCAAGGCCTGCATGGACCCTTCTGGGGCTGCTGCAGTGCCCTGAAATGCCAGGGTGGGGGACTGATCCTGAAGCACCAATTTGTCCTGAAAATAGGTACAAATGAATCGGTACTGTGTTTGGTGCCATTTGGCCCATGCAGCATCCTGGTTGGCAGAATGCACATTGTTGCCAATGTAGACCTGAATCATCTTCAGGTAACCCCCATGCTGGAGGTGTGCCCAAAGAACCGGTCCAATTTGCAGATGCAGCTGGTGCATGTCTGTCTTGATGGTGCTGAGCTTCTCAGCAATCTGCACAACATGATCAAAGTAGTCCTGGAATTTGGCCAGAGTTGCAGGGGCAGGCAGGCAATCAAACTTGTGATACAGCTTGAGCTGTAGTGCCTCAGTCTTGCACTACTCATGGAACAGAACCTTGAGTACCCCAAGATATTCCATCTCCTTGTCCTGATGAGCAAATGTATCCATATTGCGCCAGGCATCCCCATTGAGGTAGAGCAGCAGGATGCGGATGTGGTTGGTATTGGTGAGTTGCCCCATGGGGATGAGGTGGACCAGAGTGAAGGCAGTCCACATCCTCTCAAAGGTGTAATCTGAGGAGGGTTTCCCCATGAACTTCTGGAATGATGGTGCCTGAGCTTGCTTCTCATATAACTTGACCAAGTTGTAATGGGCAAGGTCAGAGGAACCTGCGCATCCCCTGTGGAGGCTACAGCCCCCTTGGGCACCAGCTCAGAATAAATTGGTGGGTTTTCAGGCAGTGGGCCCCCCCCCCCCCCCCCCCCCCCAATGTTTTGTTGGTGAGTCTGAAAGCTGTGTGACCTTTTTGTGCTCAAGCAGGGAGTGAGTTGCCGCAAATTCAAGGGGTACGCATGCCACGCATTGTTTGTTGCCCAGTACAAAACCCCCACAAAATTCAAAGTGCAAAACTCAAAAAATGACTCACATGGGGGGTGCTCAGGGTCTCTGCCTCTCCAAGGCAAACCCATTGGCCACCAGTTTTGTTGTGCCAGTATCCAACAATGGGTAGGAAATGAAACACCCAATGCAGCCTTTACAAGGCCAGATCCTCCTTAGTGGAGTCCCTGAGAAATCCTCCTTTAATGCAATACACAGACCTAACAGCAGGCAGTCAAACACGCAACAGTACTACACAAGAAGACTCAGATAACAGTGCACACACACACACACGTCACATACAAAGACAATTCCCATGTTGATCCTTGCTCTTCAAGGCAAAACTGCTGGCAAGTGTCTGCTGGCTTTATCAATGATGGAGCTGAGAGACAAAACAATGGCCATTGTGCCAATTAGGTCTGGTTGTTCCCATTTTGTAATTATGCCATTCCTGGTCCACTGCAGCAGACCAGATGCGCAGCAGAGTCTTCAGCTGTGTATGCCTGAAATGGCATGTGGTTTTTGTTGTGCCCCAAGCAAGGATGCCTTGCTTGGGTCACATTGAGCATAACCCCACAATAGCTATGCTCCATATATAAGATGCCTGTGTTGGTGTGTCCAGTAGGGGAGCATTCTGTCTAGATGCAATAGTATGCATTTGCTGCACACTAAGATTGTGTTCTGAACGCACGTCAATTTTAGCAAGGTCTATGCACATGAAAAACCTGAATTTTCCAAGGAGGTCAATTTTGTGCTGGATTCCTATTGATTGAATATTTCTTGCACTTGTCCATCACATCCATAGATATCAGCTTTGCAGGGAAGTACTCTACATCAAGTTATGCAGCACAGTATTCAGGAACGTATGGTACACGGTTTGTGAGTGGATAGATGGAGGCAGTGGTAAACGTTGGCTGCCCCGTTTGCACTAGCCAATTGGCCCGGTGCATTGACGATATGGTACACATTTTGTTTCACCGCCACTCTTTTGCCTGCTACTCTCCTAGAGGGCTATCCTCTTTCACTCCGTCCCTAAATGCCATCAATGAGTGACTTCATGAACTCACTCTAGTTTGAACTTTTGACTGTTCTTTGCATGCTGTACTTCATCCATAGCGATGTAAACATGAATTATTTTGAATATCGGCAGCACCTGCTTTTGTTTTGAATCTATATTTTTTGCATTGCCAATAAGTACGGAATTTCCCATCAGAAAAGGAAATTGCAAATCCATATATCTAATGCATACACTGTTTTAGCTTTTTATTATTTCCAAACAATAGCATGAAAAGGCACACATGAGGATACATTTGCCTAGAATTTTGCACAAATAATTTGAAAAATAAAACCAATAAATACGCCTATGGAATGTCTGAGGTATCCAGCAGTTAACGTACATTGAATAATTTATTTACAATGGGATTTGAAGTTATCCCAGTTGGGGAGCCAGACTACTATCTCCATCTTCAAACAACGGTTATGGGTAAAGTTAGGTTAGGTCAGGTCAGGTTATGCTAGTTGAAAATATTTAAACCAGCATATATTCTGTATCTGTTCATTAAAAATATTCTAACTAACCTGACCTGAGTTTTCTGCAAAAACTGAATTTGGCGGGCAGGTAGATTAGGTCAGGTTATGTTAGTTAAAATATTTTTGATGAACAGATATCAAAATGCATAGTTGAAAAAAATAGTTGAAACATCACCTGACCTAACCTAACTTCCTCGTCCAACTGCCCCCCAAAGTCAGTATCAGCAGAATCTCAATAAATAAAAGTGTGCCGTTCTTAGCGACATCTATATGGGGGTAGTGTTGCGCGTGGCTCTCCTCAACTGGGATAGTTCCGGGATTCAACTTGGAGTTCTACATATGCTGGACTTCTTGCGAGCATTCAATGGTTATGTTGGAGTGATTTTCCATAGGATGAATTCTGGAAACAATTTGGTATCTTTTTATTGCAGAAAATCGAACGGTACCATGTTCGCTGTGAAACGTGTTCTTGTTCCTGTTTCTCTGCAACAGTGGCGTCATTTCAGATCAAGTGTAGTGAAATCCGTTCGAGAAAATGGGACCGAAGATTCCAGTGAATGGGCTGTTAAAAACAAGGTGTTCACTGCTGCGTTGACTTACGTGCCTACGGATGGATGGTCGAGAGAGGCAATTGTAAAAGGTTTAGAAATGATGGTATCACAATGAACGAGATCTAAACCAACCGAATATTCCGCCCTTCTTCGTTCAAGGTGCCAGAAGTATTGGTCTTCCTAGTGTGGCGCATGGTCTTTTCAGCGACGGTGCAGTGGATTTGGTTGCCTTCTTTTACCTGAAATGTAACGAAGACCTCACGAAATGGATGGAACAGGAACTTGAAAGATCTCCAGAATCGCCCCAGATTCAACGGTAATTTTTTTGCCTCGCGTTTTTCGGATGACTGATTAAACCGTTCTTCATTTCAGTTCGAAAACTAATTTGATTCGGGACTCCGTCAAGCACCGCCTGGAAATGATTTTGCCCGTAGAAGCGCAGTGGCCGCAAGCCATGAGCCTCTTAGCTTTGAATCCGCGCACAGGATTGTTTGTTCTATCCGATTTGATGGACGATATTTGGCATGTTGCTGGAGATGACAGATCCCACGATGTATGTCCGAATGTTTTAAGCCAGGCAAATTAACTGAAATTCTTATAATTTTCACGCTTCTGCAGCTGTGCTTCTGTGCGTGCACGTTGGAGTTTTTCCTGGTTTCTGCTCCATCACCGTTTTTTTCTGAGGATATTCAAGTGTTTTTATTCATTAATGAAATACGATAAAATTGGGGCGGAACTTTGCGATAGTCATCCCGAAACTCGCTTGTTCCAGAGGAAAGGGAACCAGCATGTGTTCATGGTTATCTTGACAATGTTCAATACATTATTTGTGATTTTTATCTTGAAATTTCATGAATTTTCTCGACCAAAATTCATTAGAGATTATGAAAGCGGCTCAAATTCATCTGACAGTATATGCATATGTACCAATTTTTTCCCTTTGAGGTATTTTAGGTTATATTATGGCCCGCAATTGATCTTTTTTTTTCTATAGTTGAATTGGTATAGCAAGCGGTTGGGGCTGACTGCACTCTACAAGTCGACTGAGATCTTCATGCTTCAAGATATTTCCCCCGATAAATCCAACACTTGGGAGTTTTTGGATCGGCGCATTGAGAACTTATTTGCCATGACAAATTTTGCCAAGAATGCTGAAGTGGCACTAGCTTTTAGTGCAAAAGCTACGACAGGTTTAGCACTAAGTGTAAGTTGAAGTTTCAGTGATGCGATACCTTGTCTTGTCAGACTCTAATGCCATTGAATTCGTTCTTCAGGTGAAAAACATGCTTGGACTTAACCATTGGATGCGATGACAAAGCAAGGAAGGTTGCCATTCGAATTTTGATGCTGAATGTGATTTGTTCATTTGGTGCAGCTTGCGAAGATTTTGTTGTTGTGCAATGCAGTTTCTTTTTGCTTCTGTCAAATGAGATTTTATTTAGTAATAATGTGGTTAACTGATGAACCGAGTGGGTGAGACGTTGATGAGATCTGCTATTTCTGTAAGGTGATACTGTACTGTATTATATTTTTTTGAAGACCATTTCAAGTTTTGCAACGTCCAACCATCAACTTAGAAATTAATTTTTATTCCCTGAAAGAGACCTTTGATCAGGCTTGTTGAAATTACGTGTACAGTATATTGGGTTGCTGGCATAAGGAATGTCTAAAGATTTTGAAATACCATAGCAAAATACTGTATGCTTCCATCAAGTTTCTTCTTACATTCCCTGTACACAAGCACCATACAAGGAATACCAATGATTTTCTGTAAGCAAAATACTGTACAGCATTACTGCATGGAATGGAACTTGTCACAGTACAGTAATACTCTGATCATTAATTGTGTGCAATGTAATTTATTTCAAGTGTTTTGTTGCAAGAGCATCATGCCTAAATGAACTTGGGTGACAACCCATTGGAGTTGTAGCATAATAAAGCATTCATTACCTGCACAGTTGAGTGTACCATCTGTCTCCAATGATGTACTGGCGGTAAATGTGACGTTGAATAGGTTAATCTGGACTTCCTCCTTCTAGCATTGCGATTCAACAGTTCTTCACTACAAAAACTAGATTCTTAGTATAAAAACTCACACACGTGTTTTTATTTCCCATACCGCAGCGAAGATACAGTCAGCATCAAGGCTGTTATGTGTAAGAGCACGACTATGAGTGCTTCCTTCAGCATCTATGCACAACTAAGAACTAAGATTAATTTTCAGCAATATACATGGGTGGTGAATTTTAGGAATGAAAGGAATGTAGAATTGTTTCCCATAAACGATTGGCACTGAAGAAATCAGTTTTCTTCCAAAGATGTTGATTGCTCATGAACTGCGTAAGCGTACGTGGAATATGAAAACGGGGCTGGGATCAAGATCACAGTCTTGATGCCTGGAGGCTGATGGCCGCCAGTGTAATTATCGGTATACAGATTTCGCGACGACTACATCAATTGCTCTGTGTCTGGGCATAACTGGGTGTTTGATGCTTCTTCTTGAACCAGCCAGCAAGCTTGGAATCCTTGGGCATGGACTGATGTCGCTGCACTTTAGCCGAGAAAGTCTTCACGGGTTCCTGACCCGGAGAGTTTTTTCGTCGCGGCGGCCGCGGTGGACGACCGTGGCCAGGAGTTTGGCCTTGATCCTGGTCGTAGCTGTACTCCATCTCGACTGGCTCCTTGGGGTGGCGTGGACGCCACGGCGCCAACAAAGACAAGGATCTAGTTACAGCTCGGGATTTCTTCAGCGAGCCGGGCTTGTCCAGGAGGTCTTCTTGGCTGAGGGAAGACGAGCGCCCGGCACGAGCCGTTGGCCCTCGACTGCCGCCACCTGGCGGAATGTCCGCTACTGCTGCGGCGTGTAGGTACACTGAGCGACTGGACTGCGAGCCGGACGGACGGCTGACCTGCGAATTCCGGAAGATTACGTCATTACAATTGAATATTTCCTCTCGTGCACTGCGAGTGGTATATGACTCTGATGCAAGAGCTTCATTCATTGCCAATTGTGCGTATCCAAGTTTTCAGTTGCAAGCACTTGAAACTAGAATACTCGACAGTTTATTCTACCTCTCTGTCGAATATTTTTCAACTCACGCTGTCCAAATTCCATCAGAAACGATAAAAGAATTAGAAACCTCCCTTGCAATTTCCTCAAACTTCATCTTCAACTCGAATTTTTTAGATGTCTTATTTTGGCTACTATCTTATTGTAACAGGAAAGAGACAAGTGCAATAACACATAACTTCATGTGTTTTAAAAGGAAGTGAAAGACTAATAGTGTAAAAAAAAAATCCTTGCCTCAAACTTCAGGATCTGGTCGAGTATTTTAAGAAGCAATTTAAGGCCCAGAATGTCACGAATTACAATTTCATGTTCTTCTTCCTTCTTTCCCCAAACATAAATGCTGGTGTCCCCGACTCGAGTTATTTTCCTTTTTCCTTTAAGTTTGACTTGGAAAGGTTTGACTGGATTAGCATTAGATCTCATATCGTTTTAACCTTATATTTTTTCACGGTACCACTGTCATTATGGCAATTTTTTCGTACCCTCCTGGGATTCACACAACCCTTTCTTCCCTTTTTTACGGACGTAATTTTGATCCTGTACCATGAATAAAAAAAAAAAATGTCAGCCACCGTGCGTGAGTAGTCATTTCTTTCTTCATGAGGGCCGAACTTCTGAGTGCCCAGAATGCTCTTTTATGACTTCCTGCAAGTTATCGATGAGACTGAGTTCTTCAAAAGATTTCCTTCAAGCTTATGGCCAAGTTCTGGATACATTTTTGAGGCACCGTTGTGCATCAAATTTATTGCATTGAAGAGATTCGGGGGGCAGCAATGTTGGGAGGCAGAAAATATTCATCGATGATCTGGACTGGTCTACAGTACTATACGATCGAATCTAACTATGATGCTTGAATCTTTTAAATGCGCATGGAAAATGAAGTGAAAAACTGCGATGAAGTACCAAAGATCCTGGTCCGTGACCCCCGTCACTTTCGGAGCTGATGTGTATGTGCTGCGGCTTCTGGTACAGCTGCTGCCGAGAACCACCGTGGCTGCTGATGGCTAGACTGGCGGCGCTGCTTGTGCTGCGCTTGAGGCGAGTCTCACGACGTCGGCCGCGGTTGCTGTGCTCACTAGCACTGCTGCTTTCGCCGGTCACTTGGCGCTTGGTGTAATCTGGGTTCACTGTATGACTCGCGTAGTGCACAGACCGACCGGGTTCCCCGATATGAGTCCTACTACCGCCTGTTTTCACGCGGTTCATGGTCCATGGCTGTCCAGCCACGCTTTTGTCTCGGCTGGCTGCAGGGGCGCGTCTGTAGTCTATCGTGTTGGCATGGACGATCCGTCGACCGGCCGGACTAGAGCCACTGCTTCCACCTGATTTTCCTTGATAGCTCTGTCGTCGGGCGTTCTGTTGAGCAACATAATATCATTAGCTCTCCGAAATCGACGAAATTTTTGATACTTGTACCCTTAAGTTTGTAGTTGACCCGTGCTTCCTAGCTTCCACAAGATCACAGTCGTCGCTGTCCGTGGTCGCACCCACAGGTTGTCCGAAATGCTTCGGCTTTCCGTAAATGACTCGAACGTTGCCATCCTCCTCATAATTCGAAGGAGCCTGAGATTCAATACCATTAGAAAAAAGGAAATTTTTATTGGATCAAAATCATGCAGTTGACGAAGAGCGACTTGAAACGTCTCACCGTCACATCAGCAGAAAACGTCACGTGTTTGCAGCTCTGTTATACAAACTACTGTACAGTACTTTTCTTTTAAAATCGTTGTGCGCTGCAGTTTTTGAGTCTATGTGTATTGGTACAGTACATGGTGATCCATGCGCCATTAGAGACCCGCAAAAACGAATATTTTTCAAATCTTTTAAATGCATTTGCTTGAAATTTGTGTCGAAGTATTGGGCAACAGTGTGTGAGAAGGTCGAGGGAAATCCTGGGAAAATTGCTCGGTATCTGGTCGGAAAGGGAAGGGATGAAAATGCTCGGCCTTTTCAGGAGTTTGGAACTCCTGCATAGAAGAAAGATACTGTTGTAGCATCTTTGGGTCAATAATTCTTATTAATTTAGTGATCTAACATAGAGATTTGCTCAGGAAAAACTTTTTTTCTGAGGCATTACAAATGGTGGGATTTTCTTTCTCTCATATTTAACGTTGTTCGACCTTCTCCCGACACAAATGCTAAAAACGTTCGTTCAAAACGGTACGAAATTTTCACCGTTTTACGGGTTTATATTGGCTCGTGAATCACCATGTATGACTGCATTATTACCTGTCCAGAATGTCCTTCGAGAACCCGATGAGGGGGATGATGAGGAGCAGGTTTTCTTGGAGGTGTTGCATATCTTTCGTGGCTTTTGCTCCTCGGAGAGGGACCCAGGAAAGCAGACAAGAACTTTTCTCGCGATCTGAGGAGCTTGCTGTCTCCCGGGATCGGTGCACGCACCGGGCTCTGCGACTGAGACATGTGCTGCTGGTGCCCGATTTGGTCTCGTCGGGTGCCTCTGTGGTGCCGGATTGGTACCTGCTGCGGGTGCGGGTTGTCCACGTGATGATCGTCGCCCTTGATTTCAATCTTCACGACGTGACTCTCGCCTGTGATCTCGGGACCCTTGTATTCGGTGAATCCGCGGAGGTTCTCGATGTCGGAATCCGTGCGCGTGGGGTTATGCTCGAAAGTGATCTTCACCTTCCGGGATTTCTTGCTGAGCGCAGATGTCGAAGGCGGTCCAGTGTTTGACAAGGGTTTGCTGCTGGGAACTCTTTCATGGGTTTCTGCGTGCTGGCGAACGAGTTCGGTGGAAGCTAGCTTGCTGGACTTAGGCGGCTGCGGAGCTGGACCCTTTTGCTTGAAATCCCGCAATTCGCTCAGAGGTTTGCGGAATTTTCCTTTGATTCGCTCCAGCGTATTGAACATCGCCGATCGCTCCTTCTTCAACGACGGTTTCCTCGTAACTTGCTTATTCTTCGTTGATTCCATCGTAGCGTAGTGGTTTTGCTGTTTTGGGGGTTGCTCTTCGTGGTCTATGTAACGAATGTCCGGTCGTGATGCATGCGACGGTTTCCTCGTCACGCTGGTGTACCGCACTCCTGAGTTCTGCATCGGTTTTGGTGCAGGCGACATATCGCGGTTAGAATAGTAATGCTGTCGGTTGTCGTGATTAAGCGGCACCTTGTTGTAGTAGTAGTGTTCCGGGGCGTGCTGGTTCCGGGAGACCTTGTGTCGCGACGGGATTTGTGGGTGCTGGATTTCCGGCTCGTTGTCCGTGTGGAGAATGACCCGGGAAACGTTCTTTCCGACTGTTCTCCGCGTGGTTTCCACGGGTTTCTCGTATTCAATCCGTTTCCATTCCATCCCGTCGCCAGCGCCTCTGATCTCGTCCAAGTCGCGGCTTCCGGACACGTGACTCCATTCTGCAGTTTTGTTTGACTGCTGATACGACGGCGGGGGAGGGTGGATGTAGCTGTTATCCGGGGATGACTCCCTGGACCTTCAAAAAAAAGGGCAGAAAAAATACCATTTTTGGACCATTTTTGTCAGAACCATGGCACATCGTCATAGGCATTTCTCCGGAAAAACCTTTTTGATCTCCTTGAAATTGTAAACGTTAGGTTCGCTTGTGAGCATGGACTACTCAACCATTGGTGTACGACTTCCTTATTTGCTCGTAACTTGCTGTTCTTTTGTTCATCCGCGTAAAAATTATTTGTCCCTGCGAAACTTGATGAAATGTTTCGAATACTACGCCAGGTCATTGTAGAATTAATGCATTTGAGCTCGTTGAGTCTTATACTTTTTATTATTCAGAGGATCATTCGATTTACAGTTCATTTTACTCATGTATTGCATTATTATGTTCAATCCAGTTTCCAGTGAATGGTGTGAGCATGTCGTATGAGTGCCAGCAGCATGCTACTCTACGGTAATCCAGTCAAAAGCTAATTTCCTTTCCAAAAACCTGCATTTAAAACTCACTTGCCGCCGTTTTTCTTGGGACTAGTTTTGAAATTATTGGAATCATTTTAGAAAATGAATCTAGAAGAAAAATGGGATGGAAGATCACGAACTTGGCCTTTTTCAGTAGAAAAATATGGACCTTTATTTTTTTTCCTGTCAGTCCATAACCTCAAATAAACACCGTCATTCTTCACCTATATTCTAGAAAATTGTATGAACTTAGATTTTTGGAAAAAACCAGTAGTTTCCTTTTTTACATACATTTTTTGCTGTCCACACAGTTAAATTTCCTCGTATATATGACATAAAATAAGATGTAGCCTGTTTCCACGTGTATATGGTACTGAACTTGCATGCACTGACGCCGAAGCCACGCCAGCGACACGTCGACTACACGCACCGTTTTCTTGGTGCCAGAATTATATTTTTGTAAAAAAAAAGAAATGGAACTTGTAAAAAAAATAAAAGTTGTTGATTAGCCAGCTAAACAATCACCTGAAAGAATCAGCAGCTGTGTGGAATCCACCGGCGCGGTTCGTTGATTTGATTGTGAACTGGTTGTGGGGAGACGGGTCCCGATTGCGGACGTGATGATGACCGGCGTAGGAGTTGCCCCAGTCCACGGCTCCGTGTTGCTTCTCCGCCACCTTGATGTCGTTGTAGGTGGGGTGGTCGTCCAGGTGGTATTTCCGCATCACGTCGCCCGGACGCTGGAGAACGGACACGCTTTCTTCCTGCGAGTCCGTTCCGGGGTCTCGGCGATGAACCGACGCTTTCTTGTGCCCGTTCACTGCGACCTGAGCGTAGATCACTTCGTGCGGGGAGCGCAGGTTCTGCTGCAGAACTGTGGGCTCTGGAGACTGCGACGAAGTGCTATTTTCTCGACCTGGCGACGAATTGGACGACCTGGAAAAACCGTCGATAAATGATTCACCCGCCGTTCGAAAATTCCTCGAGGAAAAATTCGTCTCTTTGACCAGCTATGGACAAATCAGTTGGCCGATCAGTCTTTTTTTTGCCAGGCAGTGGGCTACATTTTGGCGGCTATCCGCAATGAGAAAGTAATTTTAAAAAGTGAAGACTTGTTCTGCGGGTCTGTGGAAGAATATTATGGAGCCACAGTATCGAAAATTTGATCCGTTCCTGATGCTATCATCGTGAATGCATTTTTTCAAGTTGGTGCTGGTGTTCAACCTTTTTTCCTCTTGCTTAATTTTTACGTTTGTATCATCCTTCATAATTCGAAAAAATTTCACATAGACTCTGTTCATGTCATTTGTTATTTCACATCCAAGGACACGTAATTCCGATCATTATGAAAATGCAACCCTTTCTAGATCATTCGATCACGGTATATTTCAATTATTTCCAGGCCCTCGATCCAGAAACCAATTTTCTAATGGTATCCGCGCGATAACGAAAGCCGTGTATGAGGAGTCTATGAAAGGGTTTCATTTTCTGAAATATGAAAAAAAAGCCACTCATAAAAACGGAAAACACTGGTTTATCTCAGTAGATGACATAAAAAGCTTTAGTGCACTTGAAACATTATTCCGTGGGCATGATTTACTAAAGCACCTTCGTTTTTTCAAAATCAAAGGTGAGGTAGTCTGTTATCCGGATCGGGGTTTGCTGTCTGAAAAAAAGCGTGGACAGCATAAGTCTATGGAAAAAGTTTGTTATGCGAAGCGCCCATAGTACCTGCATTGATAAAGATTAAAAGTTGTCGGATCAAGTCAAGCACCAGAGAAGCATTTGAATCCCCCGCTGCTCAAGTGAATGGTTTCTAATTGTTTGCAAATTTGCTTTTAAAAATCTACTGATGTAAGTTGAGGCAGCAGAAACCCACATAAAATGCATTTGAGGATTTCCGTCGACATTTTCGAAAAGTACAAATGTAATTTTAGGCATCAATGATATTTTGTTCTGAACTCAGACAAAGGTTAAAAATATCGATTTTGAAAATGTCGTGATAAAAATGTCGAACATTTAGGCTTTGTATATTACGATCAGCTTTAATTATTAAAATATTATAATGTAGGTAAAACCGTCCCGGTTGTGTCGTAATCAGAAAGCTTTAACATGTATCGGGGCAGAATTTTTTCTCGATCAAGTATTTTTGGGAATGTCTATTTCCCGTTCATAGATTCAGGGGAAAAATTTACGCTGATTTGTTTCACATCACCCCATTAATTAAATTTTAAAACTTCGTCATCGGTTGGAGCATTACTGGAGCGTATTTGGATCACTTGTTCGGCAATCAGCGACACAGAAGACTTACAAGAAATACTGTAGTAAAAGAGAATCACTCATGATCCATCACTCTTACGCCACGCGTGGGGGAAACAGGTGCGAGAGCAGACCACTCCTCATAAGAAAGGGGATACACAACAGTGACTGGAATTACTCCTATGGTATTCATGGGGTGAGCAGAAGCATGTAAAAAATTATCAAATTGCGCGTGAACCGAAAGGATCCCTCCTAAATGACTCCGGGAAACCAGAATTAAACCGCCGTGATCCTCTTTTTCAGAACCATGTCATTTAGCTGCATGATTTAAAAATTGAGTCAGTCAAACATATCACAAAGAATCGACAAAATTACCTGGGGGAAGACATGGATGCTGGTAGAACCGGCGGCGGTGGAGCTGCAGCTACCAAAGTCGGCGACCCTGGCGCCAGGTAGGAAAACGGTTGGTTGGCGTTGTGAGTTCTGGCGCCAGTGGCTGCAACGAGTCTATCCGGAGACCTGGAATGATTGCTGGACATCACCGTCACTGTCTCTTCCCGTCGTTGCCTGGCCTGGCTATTGAACCGTTCCACAAGGGCGTTAACGTGTTGCGCAGGCTTCATCTTGTTCGTCGCGTATGGTGGAGGAGACGTGGATCGTCCGCGGTCCATGTAACTCGGCGGGTGCTGGTGGTGATGGTGCTGCTGGAGCTGATTCATGGCCTGTTTGGTCTCCTCAGACCTGCTCCGGAGCCGGTTCGATGAAACGAACCCTTGTTGCAGGATCGAAGACGCAGGTTTGAGCCCAGAGATGTTCCTGGTCTGGGAGGCGCGACGATAGCCGTCGGATGGTCGAATAACTTGCGCCAGCTTGCCGCCTTTGACACCACGACGTGGTAGAGACGACTCTTCCTCGGCCTGGGGTCTCCGGAACGGTGTGGTCGATGTGGAGCACTGAAACTTGTCCACCTGCCGGAGAATCTCGGCGGCTTCTTTCACAAAGTCCTCGTGGGAAGGATTCGGTTCTTCGGGGACTTGGAAGACGTCCTGACGATGCCTGTCGTCGTCGTTTTCAGGGATCACTGCGACCACTCTGCCCTGGCTGTCGAGCACAGCACCGCGTGGGATGTGCTTCACGTGCACGGATTTCTTGAAAGAGACTCGTTTCTGAGAAGCGTCGGATCTCTCTGACTTGAGTGATTCTGATCGCTTCAAGTTTATTGGCATTGCTCAATCGTCGCTTGCCCGGGAACGACTCCTACGTGTTTTCCTGCTCTCGCACTCGATGTCATCATGCTCCGGAGTCAAAGAGTACAATGTCTTTCACTTGAGACCTGTCGAGAAATAAAATAAACCCGAATTAATCCTAATAAGCGCTTAATATTCCGTGAAATTTCCCAACTTTTTCTAATGTGAGTGGCTGGATTCAATTATAATCTCCGATGGGGTATAATTTAACGATAATGAAGAAGCGCTCAGGTTTGATGTGGTAATCACGGCTGATTACGGCACGAAAGTAAGACTTGACTGGCGGTTAACTCTCCTTTTCCGCAATGATCAATTAGTTCGTAAAATAAAATACTGGACAAATTGCTTTTTCTGAAGTAAGCTTTCATAAATGCCAGGGGTCCCTCGAAAGTCTTGCAATGTTGACAAAAATTGTAACTGAATGAAACAAGACCATCCGTTTTCAGCTCCTTGTTTTTGAAAAAAATGTATCCCATTCTACCCAAGAGAATATAAGAATCAAAAACTTGAAATTAGTTTTTAGGCGTCGAGGATCTGTATGTCTTCCTACAAGATCTGTCAATGATAGAAATCATTCTTCAAAAATAATTACAGTAAAATACAGTACTGTACTCAGGAAAAATGTCTCAATGTTACGCGAGTCTTGCTCAGTGTCTAAAATGCTCAGGTGTTGTGATTCTTCATAAATGAACTCCATCGAACAAAAATAAGGGTATGAAAATTATCTCACGAGCTGGGAATGCAGCTGTCATAAAGAAACCCTGGATGGATCAGTTAAAGTAAATAGTGTGACAAGCATAATTTCAGCTTAAATTTATAAAAAACTGTAACGTTCTTTTCAATTTCACGCTCATCCTGTTGCTGGCTAAAGATTTAAATTATAGATTTCTTGATTGATTGTATCTCATTCTAATTGGTTTGGATTGGGTGGCAATTTTTACAAAAACAAAAAATTGAATATTATCCCCAAATTCAATCGGCTGCTATTAAAATTTGATGATTTGCAAGACTCTTGAGAATCCCTTTGTGCCATAAAAGCGGTGGCATTCGGCTATAACCTTTCCATCATCGTCTTGCCTCTGCTCATAGAAAAAGTGAGCTCTGCTTAACGAGGTAACGAAAGTTACGACAGAAAAATGCCCTAGCAGAAGATTCCTCTTCAGTGGCAATCAAAACAGGGCAATTATAAACCGCACTTACATTATTTTATATCTCCTGCATTATGTAGGAGTAATTCACGTCCTTGGACTTCTCCGAAGCGCGTTCAGATTGCACCCGAGGGAAATAAACCCTTATGCAAACGAAAGCCACGATCGCGAATGCGAGGACACTGATCACTGATCGGTGATCAAGAACAAGACTGATAACCGAGGGTAAATTGCAAAATCTTGTCTGACCATACGCTCGGAGGCAACTGAAATGACGCACGGGAAGATAAGAAAGTACGCATCACCTCTTGCGTCCGCGGTTTAATCAATTCACGAGCTTTATAGTTTCGCTGCCGTATTTTTAACCCTTGAAGGCACACACGGAAGAATCACGTCAACCAAAACAGCACCGAACCGAAATGTCGCTCTCGCAATTTACCGCACCGCATTTCTCTTTTACTCATCGTGTTGTATAACGTTCGAAAAGTGGCTTATTCACGGTTTCAATATTACATAACCGAAAGTCAACACATGGGCTATTCATTCAACTTCATGAACAGCGTGAATCTTAAAAAGCTGCGCGATTTCCCACATTCAACTCCTGTTTTTTTTTAGATAATAGTTCAAGATCTTTCATGTAATTATTTCAAATTTTGAAAAGTTCCAAGGCGAACGAGAAACGTGAAACGAGAGATCATCCACAAGTTCTGAGAATAAATTGATTTCATCAACGGATTAAACATAAATCAAAAGTTCTCCCAACGTTTGTGTCATTGGATTGAGCCATTTTCTATCGTACATACCCTCCCAACCGATCTTAACGCTTTTTTCACGCAATCCATCATCTACATTTAATGTATAAAATGAAGAATTTTGGTATTCACGGGATCCTTCTTTAGACATTATGCGACCTGGTTTCTGCACAGGAATCATCAAAATTAGTATTAAATTCATAGAAAGGCTTGAAGTTGTGCCAAGAAAATTGCCCTTTTTCAACCTTCGCCTGCTGGGTAACTTCTTGTACTTCGGTATACAGTACCTTTTTAGGGCGCCCTTCACATTGAGCGTAACTGATTCGGAACTACGGAAAGAACCCCCCTCCCCCCGAACACACTAGAAAGACCCTGAGTACTGTGACTGAGGGGTTATTTTATTCCTTGAGAACAGTCCTTCTGTCACTGACCACCAAGTCCCAAAACGCACTGATGCTCTATTCCCTGTACGTGCTGGGCATCGTGCGTGCATGAGTACAATGCGATACAACTGCCAAGAAGTTGATTCTGGAAGATGCTCAGCGTGTGGGCGAGAGAAAAAAAATTTCCCGGAGACTATAATACGTGCAAGAAGCGGGGCATAAGGAAACAATCGGCCAGTTTTCGTACCGGAGTTGCCAAATCGAAAAGGTGTTCCGCGTGCTCGCAAAAATTTCCCGGTGTCTATGAGACGTCAACACCCAGGACTTCTCCGAATGATTGATCGCGTAGCTGCTGAGAAACAAACTCGAACCAGGGCACCCAAACATGGGTAAGTTACCCGCATCGAAACGAGTTGGAAAACGAATCTGCGCTTCGGCCGTGATTCGTTTCCCGCCTGGTACTGAATGCGAACGAGCCGATTCCGCGTGGGCCGTGAGTCATCGGACACTCGGAGGTGTTCCCGAGTGGGGGTATTACTGACGGGTTATTGCAGCCCTTCGCTGCGTGGGTAACACAATACAGCTTCTTATTCCTGCCTCTTTCATTTGCTTATGTGGGTCTCTCTCTCTAAGGTTGGCATGCCCCGGTTCGCGGACGGGGCTCTAAAAATAAAACAAAGCAGTATCCGGATGATCAGTCATTTCCTGGAAAAGAAAGGTTTTTCCTCGTGAAAACACCGTGTTTACACGGTTATAAACACTCCAGGATAGACCGCACCTCGACTTTGCACAGGAGGGGGAAAACTGTATATGCAGGAAAAGATTTGAAGTTTATAGATGCTATTCAGCCCAAAAGGCCTTATTTCTAAAAAAAAAAACAGGTGATTTAAATATCACGGGATATAAAGGGGGAATAAAAGCCTGGCTTTGATATTAATACTATAAGTGTTGAGAAAAGCAACAATAGACAAGCATTTTCTGCGTGGGAACTGGAAAGTGAGCCGCGGCAGGGTGTAGTTTCCTGAATTCTCCAGTGCTGCTTCTTAAAATATTCTGCGCATGCCACATAGATTAGATTAGCTTTTCTAAATAGACTTCCTAGGAAGATCAATCGAATGCGATATTACAATTTAATGCCAAATTCCAGACGCCTCTTGTAATTCAAACCCTTCCCCAAACATTTTAAATACATAAATACAGTACCCTCATAGAAAGTTCGAATGTTGGCCATCTCAGCTTAGATATCAAATCAGCATGAGACATTAGAGCTTTGCATTTTACAATACTGTCGCAGATAATCCGCACTTTAAGCATAAAGAAATGACAGAATTCATATTTTTAACGTAAACTCGGACCAGAATTTACCAGTTCTCATGTGGCATACCCTGCACACTGCGGTTGAATATGCTGTTGGCCTGTTCGATGCCTGAACAGACAAAACTTCACTGAGGGTCAAACTGACTCCCACAAATTCCGTACAAAACTTGACGAAAAGTAGCGATATTCGTCATTAAATAATCTTGAATTTATTTTTTACTACAGTGTTTTAGGCCTATAATTTCTGAAAGAATACCTCGCGGAATCACTACACCTTTTCATGATTTACGGCATGATCAGTATAGGAATTTCATTCTCGCAAAGATTATTTCAGAAGGTTAGAACTGCCATAAAAGACGTATTACAGGATTTTCAAATGCTCTTTTGAGAGCTTGAATGGTACCAGAGGACCTCGATGAATCTCAGAGTTCCGATTAACATACAACGAGCTTTCCGGTTTGATCATTCGAATTCGTTCAATAAAAAAAAATGCAACTCCACAAGGTTATCGTGATGGCTCGTCAAGAAACTCACGTCAAATACTGGAATGAGGCTCGCGGAAATGATGATAATGAGGGTATACAGTAATACATTCAACACTTAAAAACGACATGTTCTCTGTAAATTGATGGAGTATTGCGAATGACAAATCTCCGGAGAAGTGATTCTCAAATAAGGCTTCGTGGACGGTTAACGTATACACCTGCAGTTCCCGGAGACTACGCGGCTCTTCCGAAAAATGAAAGAAAATACAGTACATGAAGATATGAATCTTGAAAACTAAGAGTGAAAAAAATTGCTTGTGCGTGAGAAGAGATGTCTCATGGATTATGTCACATGAAAATTAATCCTGGAGTATATAGGCCTACAACGTCCATAACTGAAATTAATCGGCAACTTCAACGAATAAATAATTGAAACTATGCCGTTGGAAGGCTTAAAACCTCTGTTTTGTGATCAGTTATTTACTGCACAGGTTTTCAACTTCTGCTAAATGTAGCGTCCTAATGAATAGGCCTAGAGTTCACGGGGATCCGTTGTTGCTCCGGGAAAATCAACAGGGAAACGTAGAATAAAGAGATACTTGAGCACGAACAGCTCAACGTAGTATCGCAGAAAAATAAAACAGACTAGGGAACACTACGTCTGTAACAATGCCAAACTAAGACACATACAATAGCTCAAAGTCCAGCCCCGAGACATTGCTTGCTTAGAAAGCTCCGTCATGAGAATAGATTCCAAGAGAAGGGGCTCCGGAAGTTCCAACAAATGTTGAGAAATAACAATTCGGAAAACGCAGGTAGCCAGGCACGGAAAACTTACAGTGAAACCCCTGTTACTCTACAACTGCTTCCCGCCTGATGCTGACGCCGCGCACAATTGCCAAGTAAGGCACGGGGCTTCGACAACGTCCGTGGAGCGATCGACCGAGATAACCCACGCTTCTGTTCCAAGTTCAAGGGCGTAAACTAAGCCTCTCTTGTCA